ACTAAAGGAATGGAGAGGCCCCCCTTCCCCCCACCAAGATGTTTGATTTATGGTTAAATAAAGCATTCTGTTTAACTAGATTTTAATTTATTTGTTTTCCTAGGGAAAAAAAGCACCAAAGGAACAAACAAAAAACCACAGTCCTTGTCCTCTAAGTTTAGCCAAAAAATAGAAAAAGTGATTTTTTTGAATGGTGCTTGTTATTGCATCTGTTTTACATGCTTTCACTAGAAGTATCAGGAAATCTCTCTGCGTCATGGCAATGTTAATTTAGGTTTTAAAAAAGAGGCAAAAAAAGACAGACAAACATTTATCTCCTGGGAGGTAACAACTGATTCAGCTGCAGCCAGCCGTTTTCATACATTTACCAGAGTGCATTCCTTCAGGGCTTGCACATTGCTGACCTATAAAAAGGTGAGCTCTAGGAGCTTACCGAGTTAGCCTTCCAGGCTAGAAGAAAGACTGTCCTGACTATATGTAACAACATGAAAAAGGGAAATATTTTCCCCTATTCTCATTGCTGGAGCAGCCATTTTCATCCTGCTAACCAGTTTCTCACTGCTGCACCACTTCACAAAAAAGGAGATGACACTGATTCCCATCACACATTCTTCCCATTTCTCTGGTCATAGATATTTCATAAAAAGGAATGTTCCTCTAAAGTTTTGTCTTAAGTCTTCTCTGAACTAATGTGGGACAGCTCATGCCATTCCACAGCTGTTGTCTTGTTTACATATCATGGTTTAAAAAGACATTCCCATCATGGGACATATGGAGCATGTATGTTACATATTGCATTCTAGAATAAGTCCAGTTAAATCCCATTTTTATGGCTTTAGTTTTTAAGTCCCGGCGAGACTTTGCTGCAGGAGACTGACAAGGGAGACAGGTGTATCATGGCTTCAGCCTGGTGACAAGTTTTTGGATTCAGCTGCATTCTTACAGCAGCAAAGGGCAGAGCAGCTGGCAGCCCCCGAGCCTCTCTGCCTCTGCAGGAATGGCTGTGGGCGGCAA